CCCCCCCCCCCCCCCCCCACTTATCATGGAAATAAACTTGAAATACCCATCCTGAGGACACTTCTTCCTCCCAGACACTTTATGACATGTTTTTGAAAATTTTGTTTGAACACAGAATTTTTTTTTGTGCTGCAAGTGAATCCTGAAATTCAAGCTCAACACACTTAAATTCCACCTGCTTGAAAGATTGTCCCCACTTTTGGAATAAATAAACTTTAAAGACCTGTTCTGTATGGACACTGCTTCCTTCCAGACCCTTTACAACATGTTTTTGAAAACTTTGACTGAACACAAATACCTCATAGTGCTACAAGTGAATCTTGAAATTCCAGCTCATCTCATGTACATTTGACTTGCTTGAAAGATTGTCCCCACATATTGTATAAATAAACTTCGAAGACCTGTTCTGTATGGACACTGCTTCCTTCCAGACACATTATAGGGACAACCGTTTCTGCCTCTAACCGTCATTTCCCTGGACACTTCACATTTTCAGACACATTATCAATTAAGATAGTTGGAAAATCAAGCAGGATATGCTTATTGTTTAATTCAACAAAAATATTCCGACTGCATATCCCAAGAACACAGCCTATTTACTGACACTTTTTCAAACGGTTTGAATATGTTCTGTATCAACTATCGCCAGAGTGTTTGACATGCAAACAAAACAACATGATTTTTGATCAAATAAACTTCACTTCCAACTGCTTTACACCTAATTCAGCCATCATTAGGCATAAAAGCTTTGTACAATGAATTGAACTTTCTCCCACTTGATCATGAAATGTATTTGAATGCCTTTACAAGATTATTTGATCTAGAGTAAAATGAATCTATCACCAATAACATCATCTTTTTCATTTGGATGTGATTCACAAATATGTGGGAAACCATCCTGAAAGGCATGTTCTGATCTATGGGCACTTTTCAATTCCAAACAGATTCTAAATTAATTGAACAATGTATTACTATTTGAAGGAAACATTTTATGGTAGTGTTTGAAATAAGAGTACAGTGGCCCCCCGCCTAACAGACCTCCCGTGTAAGGGATTTTCACCAAACAGACCAGCTCTGTCAGGGTATGGCATAAGTG